CATAGGGCCATTGGTACCCACTCCTGTCCTCTCACACACCCTCAGGAAGTTAGCAACAATTTCAAAAGAGTTCTCTGTTCGGCACTCGGAAAACTCCAGTTTGGGCTACCTGGTTGCGCAGGAATCTCCATCAATGCAGGGTGGGCTGGGGGGCACGCGATACGCAGCCTCTCGGGTCAAAAGGGGAAGCTTTAATATCCTGATTCGGTCGCGGGGTGGGAGGGATTCACAAGACCTGTCGTGTGTTGTGGATTGGTGATTTCTATTTTTAACCTGAGAAACGAAGAGGCTGTTTGAATGCATTTCCCATCCCATCCCCTCTTCCACTGGCAACTCGACCTTGCAAACTCTCCAATGCCGGAGAGCCCCTCCTCCCCCCTCGGGGCTCCCTCCCTGTCCCCCAGTTTAAGAAGCTGGCCCAGAAAGCAGGCACGACTTTTGTGCGGAGCGGAAGACATTAGGCATTCTCTGACCCTGTTCTTCCTTATAAGGTTTTAGGAATAGAGGTTTAGCAATAAACTATTTAGCAATAAGGTTGATCTTTAGCAATAAGACAATGGTTAAGGATCGGTTTTATGACATAAAGATGTCTTCATTACTTCAGTCAAAGGACCAGAACAATTTCTAGCTTAAGTCTCCCACCCTCTCCCTTAGTTTTTTTTCCGAGCAGGACCAGGGGCTGTGGCCGTGGCGCCAGCCCGCACTGGCGGGTCTGCGGGAAATCACGCTCTCAGAGACACGTGCACGCAACGCGGCAAGCCTTTTCCAGGACTGTTCCCTCTTTCCGGGGAAGTAGATTGGAACCTTCTGCCCGGCTTCCTCACTTGGCCGTCTGGTCTGCATTAGTGTTTTTATAAGGGACTCAAACAAATCGAATACAAGGTCACCAAATAATTAACAGTTGTGAATTCCCTCCATCCCCATTAAAATACTTCCCTGCTTATATTTCATTTTCCGTTTGCCAACGACAACAGGGTCCGGGCAAAAGCTCGGCTGCGTTGATTACACCACTCTGCGGGCTGGGTCCACCCAGAAACCCGCTGTTTTGCAAACACACGCTTCTATCGCTGGAGGAACTTTCTGCCCAGAGGGAACTATTCAGGCAGCCCTTGGAAGCCCACCACAGCAGGGCAATCCCCAGGTAGGCGGGACCCAGAAGGTAAACGAGGAGGCTGGCAACCGGCAGCCAGCTATCGTGAGAGCCATTTCCAGGCTTCAAGTTCCTCAAGGACGGCCCCAGCTCCACTTGTTATTATTTGTTCTCTACGGCCTCCTTTCCAAGAGTGCCATTGCAAGGACAACAGAAAATCAATACATTGATTAAGAGTATTCTTATTTAAAAATTGTCCTCTGGGACGTTTATCTCACAGCAATATTCTTAGGTTCATGTAGGTTTCCTTGTCCTTAGAGCGTTTCCCTCCCTTGCTGCAATTATAACTAGTTAGTCCAAGCTTTGTTCTCTCTCTCTTTCCCTCGCTCGCTGTCCTTCTTCTGTGACTGTTGCTGCGCTGCTCTCCCCCACCCCACCCGAATTCGTAGTTCTAATTGCTTGGCTTTCTCAGCCCCAGGTCTAGGGGTACAAAGCTCCATTCCCAGTGGCCTCCTTTTAATGAGTATTCTGAGGTGCTGACTGTCTTTTGTCTGCATCCATCCTGAGATGGGACCAGCATGTCGACACTTTCTCATCTTCCTGGACCCAGGAACCTTTTTAAGAAACACCTTTTAAAATGTGGGGCATTTTCAAAGAACTGGGATAAGCGGTCTGCGTGGTTACTCCAAGTCTCCAGCTGTTGTTGGCACAGCTCAAATTCACATCCTTAAGTCCAAAGCCTCACTCACTGGTCCCTGACCATGCCCGGGTCTCTGTTGAGGGAGATTAGACTGGGAAGAAATCTAGCCATTCTTTTGGCCTCTCCCCTCAGCCTTTACTCAATCCTCACAATGCCACAACAAACATGCAGGTTCTAGGATCCAGTGGGACTTCCTCTCCTACTAGGGATGAAGCCCTGAGTAGCTTGTGTCTGCATTCTTTCATCTTCCCCAGGGGGTGTTGGGAGAATTAAATGAGATATTTCATGCAAGGTATTAGGCTTCCAAGTTTGGAGATTAAATGGGAAGGACCTACTTAATATTTCCAAAGACAAAAAGACCTTGCAATAAAGTCTCCTCCAGTGGGGTTGGGTGAGGTGTTGGGCTGCCATCAGCACGACTGACAGCAGCACTAGATGGACAGCTCTGCCGAAGACTGGGCTTTCTTCTCCAGTAAGCAGTTACAGTCCTGGAAACCCACAGGGGACCACTATGGGTCAGCATTGACTCGATGGCAGCGAAATGAGACCAGTTAGGGTGTAGAGTGAGTGTTACAAAATGCACTGTTTTTTAAACCCAAAGTGCTCTTCATTCATTCTGGAAGTTAACCCAGTTCTGTAATTTGGGGGCTCCGAGGTGAGGAAGGTACATAAGCTTTAAGTTGCTCATGCCGGGTGCCTGGGTTGGCATCAGGTTCTTTTCCTTTTCTTTGCTAAGGGACCCCTGCGCCTGAGAGGCAAGCCTGTGGCACTTGCTGGCAATTTAAAGCCCCTGGGGCAAGGCGCCAAGATTTCCAGGCTGGCCCCCTACTCTTTGGTCCTCCACCCTCCTACAGGACAGAACGGTGACTGCTGGGGGGACTGGGACGGTTAAGAACCCCCACGTGAGAAGAACGGAAGTTCTCCCCTGCAGCCGGCGATGCGGGACTGGCGGGTCCCTTCCATCACGGGAGACTAGACACCGTTTGATGTGTTATGACATGAACCCTCAATTAGATCGCTGAGTTGAAACACTCCAATCAGAGGCCCGATGCTAAGCAAGCCCCGGAAGGTCCAGCCGGAGGTCACCGCCGGTGACACATCAAATCAAAATCAGTGAGAGGCTTTCCCTTCATCAAGCTGGGGCTGCTGCCGGCGACTGGCCCCCTCCCCTGCGCCCCCCTCGGGCCGGCCGCTTCCCAGCCTTTCTTCACCTCTGCTGGGAACCTGGGGGGAGGGAGAAGCAGCTCCAGCCGGGATGGCCACGCCGCGGGTCGCCTCTGGGTGTGCCACCAAGCTGGGCCCTAGAGAACCGCATTCCAGGGTAGAACTTGGTCTGGTTGGCCTGGAGACCTTGGCTTGAACTGAGTGGACCACCTCGCACCACCATCTCACAGCCGGAGCTCGCGGCCAGTCCCTCCCCCAGCCCCCACCCTTACCTCCGATGACAGGAGGTGCCCTGGGGACTTGCCACAGCACAGGTGAAGTAAGTCTGCATTAGCACTGACCTGGAACCTCCACAACTCTCCCCCCTCCCCCCTCACTTGTGGGTTCACCTCAGGGACCTCTGGCCCTCTATCAAACCCAGTGGGCACAGTGACTGACCGCTTGGGGCGCCTGCTTGGGGCGCCTGAGGAAGACATTTGGGCCATTTTCTTTGGGGCAAAGAAAATGCGTCCAAACAGCTGAACTGGGTCTGGGGTTTCTTCTCCGTGAGGGTGAGCCTCCTTGAGTAGGCAGAGGACACCCAGAGACTAGGAGGTAGTGGGGGGAACAACTAAGGTAGAGGGTGGCAGGCCAAGGCAGGGGCAGCATGAGGTGCTCAGAAGACCACGTGTCTTTGCGTAGGTGAAGCGGTGCTGAAATGCCGTCAAGCACCCGGCAGTAATTTGCGCTCTAGGCCTTTCAGCAGCTCATGAACCTCTCCGACCTCAGATTGTAGCCTGGAGCCCAGCTAGGCAGGAGCCTGGTCCAGAAGGAAGGTGGCTTTCAAGGAGGAGGCCAGGAGCTTTGAAGCCAGAGGGAGTCTGCGCAGAAAACTTGCAAATGCCCAAGGTGTTGGGGGGAGCAACCTCCTCAGTTTAAGCCTCGTAGGACCCCACTTTCCCAGATCGGGAAGGCAGAGGCTGGGGAACTCACCGAAGCGGGAGGGTGGGCGCCAAGTCTGAGAGGACAGCTGCTTGGATTCTACTCGAATCCTTTCCCTCCTCCTTTTCTTCATGTCTCCCGCCTCTCCGCTCCCCGGTCTTTTTCGCTCCCTTTCCCGACTTTCTTCCCACAGTGGTGGGAAGGCGTCTGAGGCGCTTGTGGATAGCTTCGCAGTGTTTGGGACCAGAGGGACAGCGAGGCTTTCTCGAAGGCACTGGCCACGCCAGAGACAAGGAGCAGGCTCGCGGGCTTCCAGCAGACACCCACACCTGCGGCAGCAAGCACCCTGGTGGAAGTGCCGGGGGTGGGTGCTGCCTGGCTGAGAACGTGGATGCGCACGCCCCTTCACCCAAGGAGATCGAAGTACAAGCAGGCGTCCAATTTAGCCATTCCTAGCTTGGCCCGCCTCCTTAGTTGCTGTCGCTGCAAAACCCACTCCAGCTGCGGCCTCAAGCTGCTGGGAGAGGGGACTCGGCAGCAGAAGAATCCGAGGTCCTCTGGGCTCCCGCCCGCTGATAAACTCAGCGCTCAGGCGACGGAGGCGCACGCAGACCGCTAGGCTCGCGAAGCAAGGGTCTGTCCCGCCCCTGGATAAAAACCGCCCTCCAAATGCAGGCAGGACTCGTTCAAGTCCGCATCCCCGCAGAGCCGACCAGCCCCAGACACGGAGGCAGAGGTTTCGTCGGGTCCCGCAGCCGCTTGCGCGGTCCCTCTCCAACCCGGGCCATCTGCCTGCCACCTCCCGCGTCCTCCATCCACCCTTCCTACAGCACCCACCAGAGAAGCAGCCGCCGCCACCCCGAGCCCTGCAAACAGGAGAAGAAGGAAGAGGGACAGAAAGGAAAGGCGCAAAGGGAGGAAGCGAGGGTGGGAGGGAGGGAGCCTGGAGAATAAAATCGTCAGCCGCACTCAGAAACTTACTAGAGCTCGGGGAAAGCAGCGCGAGAGAACCAGAGAGGAGCGCGGCGGCGGGGAATTCACAAAGCTAGCCTCGGGCCAGACCCGGCGGCACCCTGGCTTGGGAGCATCGGGAGCAGGGGAGCCGGGGTGTCCTCTGCCACTTACCTAGTCCCCTGTCTACAAAGCTAGTGATCGTGTTGGCAGCCTTAGAAGACTGGAAAAAGGTGGCGTTGATGCCCATCTTCTCGGCGGTGGAGTAAGTCCTGTAGAGTGACAGCATGTAATCGTGGGGCACCACTCGCAGCTCCTGTGCCCGGGGCTGCAGCGGCCCAGCTTCCTCCGGTCGCCCGCGCCGGGGCTCTTGGCGCTCCGAGGACGCCCAGTCCAAGGCACTGTCTCGTGGCGCCGGAGGCACCTTCCCTTCTTTGCGGTTCCGCAGGTTCTCGGGGGACCACGAGGAGGATGAGATGGAAGCCTGCTGGAAACTGGGCAAATCCCAGAGGAAGCTAATGAGGAAGACGGCCAAGAACAGGACCCTGGAAGTATCCATGGCGAGCGGGAGGCTGAGGCTCCAGGACCGGCCGAGGCGCGGGGTGCTAGAGGCACGGGCGCGGCTGGACAGCGGCCGGGGCCCCGCTCCTCCCGTGGACTCCAAGTGCGCGGAGCCGGGTCCCAGCCACAGAAACCCCGGCCGCGCCACGCCCCCTCCCGCCCCTTGCCGGGAGGGGAGGGCAAGAGAGGGGAGGAGACGGAGGGTGGGAGGAGAGTCCTGGCGGTGCGGGCAGGAGGTGTGGGGTGGGGGGAGAGGGGCCGCCGGCCGTGCCGGTGTGGCAGGAAGACGCAGCGCCCCCGCGGGGTGGCCGCGCTGAGCTGGCTGCAGGCCGGCTGGGGCTGTCGCAACTGCCCCGAGCCCCCGGGCCCTCTCAGAGGCCGCGTTCTTCTGCAGCACAGCGCAGCAGCGCCCCAGGGCCTCGCCAGCGCCTCCACTTTCCTCCCAGCGAGGGAGGAAGGAAGCGGCAGCCCAGAGACGGCTTGGGGCAGTCTCCTTGGCCGCAGGCTGCAATCTGGCTAGAGCTGACTACCGTGGGTGGATGATGCTGTCCTTCTTGGGCCTGGGGACAGCCCTTAGCGAAGCGTCCGGAGCAGGGCCCAGTCCCCAGTGCCCCGTTCTCCCGGTGGGTACCGCTTTCCAGGAGGAAAAGGAGTCTGTTCCGACCCTCGAGGTCAGGAAAAGGGTAGGACCCTTCGGAGCCTGGTTCGATGTAAAAATCTGCTGCGCTCCGCTGCAGGCCCCAGCCTCTTCGGGAACAGGCTTCATTTCGCTTTTTTCGGCTCCCTGGTCGCTCTTCCCCCTCGCCGCCTGCCCCCTGCCTCCGCTGCCTCCCCAATTTCTCCCTCTTGTTTCCCACTCTCCTTCAGTACTTCCTCCTTCCCCAAGTTCCTGGAGAATTCCAACCCCCTCTTCCCGCAGGCTGCTCTTCTCACACCGAGCTCCAGCCTCCCTCTGCTTCCCCACCCTCTCCTCCCTGCCCCCCTCCCTTTGCAGCTCCTCTTCCCCAGTCTGTTCCTCCTCAGCTCGGCCTCGCCCAGCAGCTGCACTTTGGTGGTGCAGTGGATAAGCGCTCAGTTGCCCACCCCTCATCTAGCAGTCAGGTTAGCTACCCTAAAGATTTATAGACTCAGAAACACTATGAGGCAGTTCTATAGGGTCCCACAGGGTGGCTCAGATTAGGATGGGCACGGGTCTGGGTTTGATTTCAGTCTTTCGGGCCCAGCGCCTGGCTCCTTCAGCCTGAAACCCGGGAGGGACAAGCAGAGGCCGCTCTCTCCCACAAGTGTCCCCTCCACTGCTCAGGACTGGCAGTGACCCTGCACGTTTATTCAGTTCTTAGGCACTGACCATAAAATGCCCTCTAATAATCATCCCTGAAATTATTATTGTCACTTTCACGGATTGCTTTTTAAAGGAGGGCCAGAGAAGAGACATTTTACCAAGGCCTGTCAACTGAGAAGTCACCACAGTGTGGGAGCTTTTCCCCACCCAGCATAGCAGAATCTGTCCCTGGTACGGTGTCTCCCTCTTCTCGCTTACGTTTTCCTTTAAGTTATTGTTTGACCTGATCCTAAGGAATATTCCCTGTCCCCAGCTGCTGGTTACTGTTGTTGATGATGATGTTGTTCCCACCCTGCTTACTAGCCCCCTCCCTGCCCTGCCCTTTGCCTTTCCTCCCTTTGACACAGTCCATCCTGTGGGGACCACGCACCCTGGGACCACGAGCACCCTGCTTTCACAGGAAGGGACTTTGGCTCCCCTGGACCCTTCATCCCTCTAACTCTCCTGAGCTCTCTTAAGGCCTGGGGCTTGCCAATTTCCCTCAGGTAATGCCCAGAGAACCATGTGCAGCAGGCAGAGTTCTAAACTCCTTATGTTGACTATTTCATTTAAATGGCCCAACAAGCATACATGGTCAGTGTTGTGACTGTTTCCATGTACAAAGCACCAGGGATACTGCTCTAGAGTCTGGCCTCTTGACAGCTGGACTCTACAGGGGTCCTGGTGTGGACACAAACAGTTAGGTGCTAGGCTACTAACTACAAAATTGGTGCCTCGGAAGAAAGGGCTGGCTTCCCCCCAAGATCAGCCCCAGAAAACCCTGCAGAGTACCCCTCTATTCTGAAGCACAGGAAGTGGCCATGCGTTGGAATTAGAATGGACTCCATAGCAACCAGATATAGCTCAGCCAATCTCCTCCCCTCCTCCTGTCCCCTAGTTTTGGTTTCCCAGTTACCAACTTCTGGGGCCTGAAGGGTATTGTTCTATACCTTTCCCCCCTTTCTCTCGCCCCTTTGTCTGCTTTGAAATAAAACAGCACCACAGGAAAAACAACTAAAACATGGTTGCTCCGATTTTTGTCGCTGCAGCACAGTGAAGTCTTTCCGTCCTCATGGGTCCCTTCCACTTCTCCTTTATTTTGGGGTGCATGTCCTTTTTGCATGATGGCAATCCAGAGCCTGGCTAGATCCCGTTGCCGACTTCTCTCGTCCCTTAACCATCACTGCTAATAACGTGTTCTATCCAGAGAATGTCTGCTGGGCCTTCCGTTTTTAAAATTTGGTTTTGTTTTACTGCCAACCCCATCTCACTCATGTCCCTTCTATGTACCCCGGCCCCACCCAGCTCCTGGACCGGCCTGCACAGGCCACTGCCACATAGCTACACGCACCCCCCCACCCCATGCCTCACTCCCAGGAGCCAGACTTCCCCTTCTGCCCACCTGCCGCCCACCCGTGGAGTGCTCATGCCCTCTCTGGCCTGCTCTGCCTCTCCAGGAGCATCCAGGACAGCTTCCTCCTTGTGGTGGGCCTGCACATCCCTCCCTGGGGGACAGGAACACTTGTGGTTTGTGTTATCAGGCTTTTAATTTCTATCAGGATAGGGTCTGGCTAATGCTGATTCATGGCTTCAGAGCCTCTGTCCAGTAAGAACGCTTCCTGCCTGGAGCTGCCGCCCTGCTAGTTCTTTCTTTGTTTTGCCCACAGCAATTATTATCTGCCTCAAGTTATCAGTAAACAGGAAATCAAATAATGAGCCTATTTGTTGTGGCTTGGGATTTTTCAGCACACGAACTGGAATCAGTCCTGGAGCAGTAATGGCACTGGGACAGGGACCACAGAGGACGTGGCCCCTCGGCTGGGCAGCGGCTTAGCTCCAGGTCAGGTATCCACCTTCCTCAGTCTTGCCAGCCTCAGGTCTTTGCAAGGCGGAGGTGACTGGCTGATTTTTGCCTGAAAAGGCTGCGCAGATTATTCTCCAGGTGCAGAAGCACCAAGGTCTCAAGCTAGCCAGAAGTAGAACCTGGACCAGGGCTCAAGTCTTTCCGAATCCAATGTCACACCTAGATTTTCTTTCTTTTTTAAAAAAATCACACTAAAGTGTAGAGTTTGCTCTCTTCTTCCTTTCTGGGTGTGTTTCAAGCAGGAATCCGCCCCCATTGTCTGCCAGCGTATGCAAGGCCTTTGCTGTGTGTGTACATGGGCATTGTAAAAATGAAAAGATGCCGCCAAATCCCAGACTCACTGCCAGCCAGTTGATTGGGACACATAGCAACCTTACGGAACAGCATAGAACTGCACACGTGGGTTTCCAAGACTGTCTATCTTTACAGGAGCAGAAAAGACTCAGCCTCCCCTTCTTAGCCTCTCCTTCACAGGAGCCCCCACCCCCGTGTAACCCGCAATGCCTCAGGTCGGGAGCTCCTTCGAATCTTCACAGAGCGTTGTTGAGTATTTGAAATCACGCTGCCGAGTTTTAAACGTTCCGTCTCATCTCAGCTCTCCTCAGTAATTTGTCCAGCGGTTTCACTCACGGAAACGTGAAACAGAGTGAAAGTTTTTGAGCTGAAGATGTGTCGACACCTTTAGCAACTTGGCCGTGGCCTTCTTTGCTCGGCTACATATTTTTTTCTTTCCCCTCCAAACCAGATGGAAATCCAGCCGGCTGCGCAGTGTGGTATGTCCTGCCCCCCTGTGGAGGTTGAAGGAGTTACCCGTGGGGAACCAAAATCTGCCTTGGACCTAGGGACGTTGAAGCTGCGCCGAGGCTTGAGCAAGGAATAGTGATGTCTACTGAAATGCTTTCGGAAATTAGTCACACGTATGGCGTGTGTCGCATTTGAGCACAGATCAAGGAGAGGTCTGTCTGCTCAGACAGAGGACCCCAATCCAGGTATCTCTCAAAGCTGTGCTGTTACTGCTTTTTAAAATTATTTTCTTTTACAGCACAGAGAGAAGTTTCTCTTAAATAAATAGGCAAAAATATCCAGCCTTTTTGTTACTCCATTGTTCAAAGTGTTGAGAGGTAGCTTTTTATTAAAAAAAAAACCAAACAAACTGGAACTCTCTGCTATATACTCATACCATGTCTACTACAAGGACCCCCTGGTGGTGCAGTACTCAAGCCCTGGGCTGTGAACCAAAAGGTCTGTGGGCAGGTGGTTCACATGTTATGTTCCACCTGTTCCCTGAGAGAAGGATGGGGCCGGTGGAGCCCCTGCTTCCATAAAGCCGCCAGCCTTGTAAACTCGCTGGGGAAGTTCTACTATGTCCTATAGGACCGCTGTGAGTCGGAACTTTGGTCTGATTTCGTGTGTTCTTGATCTGCAGGTGACATTCAGGGGCTGCAGAGTGATATGGCTGGGCAGCGTTCCATTCTTTCACACCCAGGGTTATGATGACTCGGAATCGACTTGAGGGCACCTCACCACAATGACTAGAGAGACTAGTGTCGCAAATGTGCAAAAAGTCCCGTCTTTCATTTAAAATACATCATCTAACAGATGTCACTACCATTCATATTATATTCCCACTCTTGTACTATTCTGGATAAACGAGGCTTTCTACCTCCATAAAGGGTTACAGACTCAGAAACTCACCTGGGCACTTCGACCCGGTCCTCTTGGGTCACTACGAGTCAGCATGGACTCGACGGCTGGGGGTTTGGTTCTTGGTTTTGTGCTATTCTGCATAAATTGATCGACTGATTCTCGGATT